CGCCAAAGCCCCGACCTCCTCGACCACCGCGGTGTCCCTCGCGAGTGCCCCGGTCAACGATTTCGCAATTTCGACGCATCTCGTCCATCATGGTGCGCATCGTCAGTCGTAATTCCTCGAAGCCCGTCGAAAGATCCACAAATCGGTCATCAAAACTGTTGAATCACTCATCAATTCGCTGAAATCGGTCATCAACGGAGTTGTCGATCACGACTTTGTCCTTCTTCGGCGGCATCGTAGATCGTCGGCTGGTCTGCTGATACCAACTGATGTAGAGGATGTATACGAAAGGGAAAGAACAATCTCAAGAGAGAACAGATAATTTTTATTCAATCGATAAACTGTCTTTTCTCTTTTGTTCGCAGTACATAAATAAGGAGTTTCCACTAACTCCACTAAAGCACGATAAATCCTAATAATTAAAGAAATACCCCCATACTAATAAAATAACACAATTGCAACCACTAAAGATAAATAGACCCCAAAAGGAAAATAAAGCAATAAAATAAATATGCTAGACACGTAAACGGTCATATTTCTGCAAGAACATCAACGCGGCCTCGTCTCCATCACTTTGATAATTCATAGCGTACTATGATGCATAGTGGACTGCTATAAACACAATCAAACACCTTATGATATGAATTCTCCCTTTCGAAGACAAAAAATAAAATTAAAATAAAATTTGCATGTACACTTCACATATTTAAGACGATAAAAAAGTGACCAAATAAAAAGGAAAAGTTGAAAACTAAAAGAATGCCCTTTCTCGCACAACCACATCATCAACACCTATATAGATCGCAGCAGTACAGAAAAGCTGAGTCCCACCCACAAGTATCAAAATAGTCTCCAGTGTTCTCTGAGAGCAAAAAATAAATAAATAAATAAATAAATAAAAAATAAATAAAAATAAAAATAAAAATAAATAAATAAATAAATTATTAATCAGATATTCTTTTATCTATTATTTTTTTTTTTAATCAAATCTTTTACCAGGTTTGAATCTGTCCAGCCTATATCGATCTCCTTGCATGCAAATCTGCAACAAAATGCATACAACAAGCCTTGTGTCATAGGCAAATTACACAACAATCATATGAGGAAAACAGAGTTTTAATATTAGAGAGTACAAATTTAAAACTATATATTATTTTTTTTTTTTATCAACATTTTTGTAAGAATTAGAAGTAGTCATTGCTACAAAATGCTTATTATTTTTCATATTGTTCATCTATACTAGTACAACACCCGTGTATTACAGTTTACATGGGTGCTTGTTAAAAAATTATTCTGAAATTTTAAAATTAATGAGAAAAATTATTTTAAATTTTATTTACTTTTTTACAAAAAATATATATTATTAAATTGTTTAGAATGACATTTGTTACTTTTGCGACTTACGTTTGTTATATTATAGTAATTTTTATAACTTATATTATATAACTACTTGAAATATAAATATATTAATTGATAAACAATTTTATTTTTCTAGTTAATATTTTAAAACAATTTTATTAATGTTATAAAGATTAATATATTTGATGTTATACATACAATATGGATGTTAAATCGAAGCACATCAAGAGATGATTAATTTGATATATTATATATGTAAAACTAATGAAAAATACAAAAATTATTAACTTTTAAAATACATTCACAAATCAATGATTTTAATGTAAATGATATTAAAGTACAATTAATACATGTAACATGACCATAAATAATCCATATATTTATGGATAATCCAGAAAGAATTAAACGAAGCAAATCAGAAGTATGGATATATTAGTCACTTAGTGCGCATTATGCAAAAGTACAAAGAACTAAAGAGTTATATTAGTACAAGTGATATTAAAATACCTAAGTTAGCTAAATAATATTTATGGAATGTCCGAACCTAGATTATTAATCCCCCTATATATAATTCCAGAATGCTTACGTGGCTGTTTCTGGTGTTTCGGAATCCTACTTGGCGAAGAATTATGCTTCATAATTAGGTTTGGATAAATAATATTGATATATTAATAATTAATAATCTAGGTCCGGACATTCTATAAATATTATTTAGCTAACTTAGGTATTTTAATATCAGTTGTACTAATATAACCCTTTAATTCTTTGTAATTTTACACAGTGAGGCACTAAGTGACAAATATATCTCTGACTTTTGATTTGTTTCCTTCAATTAGCTATTGAATTATAAATGTATTTTAAAAGTTGATAACTTTTGTATTTCTTATCAGTTTTACATATATAATATATCAAATTAATCATCTTTTCATGATCTTCGATTTGACATCCATATTGTATATATAAAATAGATATATTATATTTATCTTTATAATAATAACAAGTAATAATATTTATTAAAATTTATTAGAAAAATTAAAATTATTTCTCAGTTGATATATTTATGTTTAATGTAGTTAGTTGTAAGTTAAAAAAATTATTATAATATAACACAAGTAAGTCACACAAATAAAAAGTGTCATACTAAATATATAATAATATATATATTTTAATAAAAGGTATTTAAATTTTCAACTACTTTTTTTTTCATAATTTTAGATTTTAAAGAAAAAATTAGCAAACACCCGTGTAATACACGGGCGTTGTACTAGTTATTAATATATGAATATTATTTGTCCAAACTTAATTACGAAGCATGATTCTTCGCCAAGTAGGATTCCGAAGCACCAGAAACAGCCACGTAGGCTCAGCGCATTCGGGAATTATATATAGGAGATATTAACTCTATAAGGGTAATTATTTTCAATAGTTGACCATTTTATTCACCTTCAAAAAAGGATAATCTAAAGTAAAATGCAATTTTAGTCCTGTATGTTTAACTATCATAACTTTTTCTTCCGCATTTATTATTTTCATCCTGCATGTTTGCAAAAAGGTTACAAAAATGTCCTTTTCGCAACAAAAATGTCCCTTATGTTTAGCAAAAAAAAGTTCCAATTTCATCCTTTTTCTGTATGAAAATGACTTTTTTGTAACCTTTTTACAAACATACCGGCCGAAAATAAAAAACGCAATTCGAAGAGGACAAAAAAGTTAGGATAGTGAAACATACAAGATTAAAAATGCAATTTACTCTTAAAAAAGTGAAATGGGGTGAAATGATTAACAAGATTATTATGGTACCCCATGGCCAACATTGTGAGTAGCCAAGAAATGAGAGAAGATGTAGCAGCTGCATGTAAATTTGGAGCATCCCATTGAATCACTTCACCAATTCCAGTAACCGATGATGTAAATCCCACAACTCCAGCTATAAGCGAAAGAAGGACTACAAAACCAGTAGCCGAGTTCCCAAACGGGTAATATATAGGAAAAATCTGTGCTGGGAGAGACAACACAGACGCTGCAACGAAATAAAAAGCACAAAATTATTTGACCATATATAATGTTATCATTACTACAAAATTGCATGCATGCTCTCCAGATTTAATGAAGTTACAGAAAGAACTCCAGCTATCCGAAATTGCCATAAAAAGGTCCTTTTTTGATGGAGTAAACATAGTTTCAACGCCTTTTTTGCAGAATTTGAGTCAAGTTAGATGGAGAAAAAGAAAAGAAGAGTACCGGTTTCGTGTGATCTTTTGATTCCATGGTTCACTGCCCATGCTGCAATAAAAATGAGAATCAAGTAGAGAAAAATATTGAGCACCAAGAGCATGAATGCTGCTGATTTGCTAGCACCAGAAGCCATCTATATTCAATTATAATATTAGTAATTAAACTTGTTTTTGGATTAACATTCATGATTTATATATATGTAAAAAATTTTAAAATATTCCATTCTTTGCCACAAAGAATCATTAATTCTCGTTTTCATTACAGAAAAGTAGAGTATCTTCCACTTCAAGAAATGGCTAATAGAACTGATTCCTTCTGTATAGTTTCAGGTTTGCCTCAGGAAGAGAAAAAGAACCTCATGTTGTCCTACTTGGATTGGAACAGTACAAAAATTGCATAAAGAGGAATTCAACTGTCAGATAGTTGCCCTTAGAGCTGTAAACGAGCCGAGCCGAGCTCGATGTAAGAAATATAATCTGTTGTTTCCTTGTTGTTTCCTTGCAATTGCAGTGCAACTTCCTTGCAGCTGCAAAGCATTTTCATAGCAGCCATTTTAGGCTGATTTTTCATGACTTTTCAACTTAAGTAATTTCTAGGAAAACCACTAGGGTAGTTGCTTTTAGTTCTTATAAATAGGGATGCCGTTTTTATTTGTAAACACACAGAAAAACTGAATACTAAATACATTGAGTAGTTCAAAATCTTCTTCTTCTATAACTCCCTTAAAAGTATGAGTTGTTTCTTGAAACTTTTGAATTGCCAAGAATATCCTCATAAAAAGATAAGTGTTAAGGTTATTAATGTAATTTTCTTATTCATGTTAGGAAGTTACAACTTTTAATTATGATATTTATTTTGATGCTTAATTATATCTTTAAGTTCTTACACATACAAAACATTACCTACACAAATTAATATATTTTAAATAATAATTTATTCTTAATTATATTATTTTGAATTAATCTACATATATGTTAGGTTTCGATTTGGTTATTTCAAAGCAGTTTTAAAATGTAAGAGAAAAAATTATTTTAAGATTTCTTAAATAAAATATATGATATTTCATAAGTGTGAAATATATAATGCATCACTAAAAGTATCATCTTTAATTTCTAAATACTATATTGTTTACCACACAAATTTTTGGTTAGTATTAAAACAATTAAACAAGAACAATTTAGTGAACATGCATATGTTTAAGAATAATTGAATCAAATATAATTATTCAACATACAAAATGTCAACTTTCTATGTAAAAAAGTTATTTGTTAAGTAAAAAAAAAAAATATAATCTTCACATAAATATTTGTTTAAATTATTCACTAAAACAATATGCATAATATGATTTATGAGTATAAATGTTTATTATAATAATGTGTTACATGAATTAAAATAGCATTTACTGTTGTAATATAAGCAAAAATAGATTAATTACAGATATAAAATAAAATAACTAAAATTCTATTTTAAATCTTGAATTTTATAATACGTGCACTTATTAGAAAATAGTTACAATTAAAATTAATTAAATAAAAATAAATAGTGAATTTACTTTAAATATGAATCATTCATTAAAAAACTAGACTCATTAAATTTTCACATTTAGGATAGTCTTAAAAATCTGGGAATGAAGATAATGCATGTATGACAATTTTAGGAGATGCAACAATAATTTATGTTGGACAA